GGCACGTCAGGTTCGGCCATCGCAAGGTTCTGCCCTGGCCGCGCCGGGCTGGGAAGAGGAAGATGAAAGAGATGCCGGGAACAAAGGCGTCCCCCATCGAGGGGCCTGCACCGACTTGCAAAACCGCAGCCTCCCATGCTGACGTCCTGCTTCCCATCGCAACACGCTTTTTTGTGACACCCCCCCCCCTTACTGAAGAGGAAATCAAGGCACAAAGAGGGATGAGGTGGAGCGGGGAGGGGCACCCCATGCCCGCACCCAACCCAGGGCATCTACAGACCCAAGGGAGAGGGAACCCTGCAGTGGCCCACGGGGCCAAGCAGCAATGGGATAGCCCTGCTGGGGTGCAGGTGCCCGTCCCTGCCTGCACCGGGGTCCCTGCTCCACCAGCGTGGTATTTATCCTCCCTCCATCCTAGGAAACCGCTCAAACATGGTCACACATGGGCTCAGCGTTGGCTCGTAGCAGGTAGGACACGTTTCTGCTCCTCGCAGCTGGCTGAGACCTTCCCTGATGACAAACCCTGCGCAAGGAGGGAGGAGCAGCCCCAGCTGCCGTGTCCCTCTGCATGGGGGCCCTGAGAAAAGGCCTCCTGACGTGGCCACCAGCTCAACCATCTGTCACCGTTGGCCAACAGGGCTGGAGCAACTGCCTGTTGCAGGACCAGGGCAAGTGACAGGGACACGCCGCAAGGGAAAATCCTGGTGAGGCTGGGCAAGATGCAGGGCCAGCAAAAGACCCTGCAGAGGAGGAAGCTGCCCCTGGGGAAAGGGTGGACAGAGCAAAGCTGTCCATGTAGAGACCAAGGGCATCCAACATCCAACGAGGATCCTGGGGCCAAGGCCCTTCAGCACCTCCCCAGCACAAACCCTGCCATGCAGCATCTCTTGCACCACATCTGCAACACGAGATGCCACTTGTTTTGTCCCCAACCACCTCTGCTCACATTACACCACTTCCAAAAGGGAATTTTCTGCCCCGGCTGGGCTGCACCGAGCAGCCATCTTGAATAGGGCATGGGAGGAGCAAGACGCTGCTGGCACGCTGCTGTCCTACACAGGGATGGCAGTGCCACCGCAGCAGAGCAGGACACGTCACAGCCAGCTCGTGCCGGGCTGCTGGCTGCTATCAGAGTCCCTGAGAGCAGAAATAAACCTGGGAGAGAGAAATGAACCTGGGGGCGGTTGCCCGCATTGCCGCGAGCTCAGGGGGAAGGCACCCACCGCTGGGGGCGATGGCCAAAGACGACGACGGCACCCGGGCTCTGGGGGACTGTGGTCTCCGCTGTGCTTTGGCAGCTCGGGGCTCAGGGCACCCACCACGTACGTTCACCCATCGCCACCCGAGCTGGGGGGACCTTGCGTCCCTGAGCCTTG